TGGACAAATCCCATCATGAAACCCCATAGTCTTATAGGGACTCTGGAGCAGCAGATCCCACAATGATAAGCAACTGTTTATCATTCTGGGAGTTTATCATTCTCCCAGCCATGGTCCTCTAGCTCTGGGCACTGAGACCCTCTTAGCCCATCATCAGTTGAAGACAGAGGCAAAGAAACATTAAGTGTGTCAGATGTGTGCTCATGTCACATGTGCACAATACATGCGTAGTGTCAGTCAGACTCAGAGTGGTGAGACTGTGACTGTATATGGAAGGTTATATTAGTTACGTTATCAAAACTGTGGTTTCTAGTCTCTCTTTGCTGTGTGTCTGTGAAGAGGGGTTTATGGAGCTGCTTGGAGCCATGCCTTAAACAGGCTTAAACAGAAGATACTTCTGAACTCCTAAGGTGACTGTTCTGCTCCTGGTATTGAAGCTATCCCAGGTATCTCTGCGTAGTTCTTTATCTTTCTGCTTAAATCCTTGACTCTGAATATGAGTCCATGTTTCTAGATCTGAAAGTAAGGACAGTTTCAGTCCCCGTTAATAAGTGTTGATAGATGGGTAGACAATGCTGAGCTACCAGACTGGGATCCAAAACTCACGGTGTGCTTTTCACTACTGTAATTCAGGCAGTAAATGTCAGTGGTTCCCACTGTGAAGCTGCTTCTCTTACTGGATGACTTAGGAAGTCTTAGCCATTTCTCAGGCTGTAAACTCTTCGTAGTGATGCTTCTTTAGCAGGGGTTTGTGTATTTGTTTACAACACAGCAAATACAGGAAGGAGAGCTGTATTGGAGCTCTGGTCTTAGAAGTGTTTTTATCTAACTACCTCAAGTTATTTTGGACCTTCCTAGTTACTGCACTGATGTGGAAAGGGTGTTATGTCTTGTTCTGTGTGCTGTGTCTTCTGAGCACAGAAGACCTTTAAAAATTTGCCTTCTCAATTGGAAAGAATCTTTGAAGTAAGAGTCCTGGCTTTCTACAGCATCTTTATATAATTTTTGCTTAATATAGCTGTTTTCTAGGAATGCCAGAGGTAATGGCTGTTCAACGCCTCGCTAATCCAAGCCTAAGCAAAAAGGAAAGGAAATTTAGGAAAGAAGTTCCTGTGGCTAGGTTAAGGTTCAAAGTTTGTCTTTTGAGATACTTTTCTCCAGTCATGGCTCCAATACATTCTAATGACTGGAGCGACTCTATTCACTGAAAAGAAACTGTGGAACAGAAGCTGTGCTGTGTCTCTGGGATACCACTCTGTAGGTGAAACCACCAAATGCAGCATTGTGGGACCAGTTGACTCTGTGTGCTCACCCGTATCCCAACAACTGATGCTCTGCATAGTTTAGAGGTATTTTTCTTTAAGGTTACATTTTGGGATCTGAAATCCATTCCTTGAAGGACAGTTTGCTGTCATTTGCCTAATGGTTTCTCCAGAAGAAATATGTACATTGCTGTAGAAAACAAAGAATGTATTACTTTAATTTTTTTTGTCAGTTTCTCTGTATCCTACTTGTAATGTTTTTGAAATTTTTATGAGTGGTAATAATTTAGGAATAAAAGTCATGTCTTTGGTAAACTATCTCTGCAAGATAGAAGACTCAAATGCTTCTTTAAACTTTTGTAGGCCTTGAAAGTTCAAACAGCAATAATAAGACTGGCTGTGCTAAGACAGCCTCTACAAACCCAGAATAAAAATATGGAGTGGAAGGTTTGACAAAGCAGTTCATTCTCACCCCTCTCACCTTACAAAATGCAAACTTTTTTTTTACTGAAGAACGTTATTTAAAGAGAACGAAGGTTCTCTTTTCTTAAAAAATTGGTTGAAGTTTAATGTAAAGGGACATTACTCAAGCACAACATTTGGGTTCTAAAACTCTCATACATAGTATTAGAGAAGGCAGAAGGTTTTCAAAATTTTAAGGAAGATATACTTATGGGAATAGTTTCTGCCTAATTATGTAGGACAAAAGGACCAATCTCGTGGGTACTATTTCAGCTATGGGACTGGTAGTTTCTTTAAATACGGGGTGGTTAATGTCCCTTGTTTGATAAATTCCATGAAAATGTTTTTCTTCTTGACTGTGAGTCTAAAGAAGCACACTGTGTGAGATAGGCACCTGAAGGGAAGAGGTCCAGAGGAGCCTCAGGAGCAGTTCCCAGGCAAAAGATGAGAGTGGCAGCCTGAGTTGTCCACTGCTCCAGGGCATGACAGGAGGGAATAAGCCATTGGGTTCCAGAGGGACCTGACAAGCTGTCTCCAGCTTCCTCCACAGGCTGGGGTGGTATTGGATTACACTGGTCTGCAGGTCCTACTTGAATGGCTTGTGACCTGTATGCAGATCAAGGTCTGGCATTTGGTTTTGCTTGGCTTATGTTTGTGATCCAAACAGTCTTCAGATACACATTTGTGCAAATCCTACCCTTTTTCTCTCCTGCTTGAACTGCTGGAATTTGAAATGCATGGGCATCCACAGATCAGCCCTGTCCCTTAGGCTTGTTTGGGTGTGGGGGCCTTTGCATAGGATACTTAAACACCTGCAGCACATCCTGATTCCTCCTTGTTCTCATTACAGAGTCACAGATTCACAGAATAGAACCATAGAATCATTTAGGTTGGAAAACAACCTTAAAATCATCAAGTCCAACAGGAAACCCAGCACTGTCAACCTTGTACTTAAGCTCCACATTTACATGTCTTCTAAATACCTCCACGGGTGGTGGCTCACATACTTCCCTGGGCAACCTATTCCAATGTCTGACGACCCTTTTGGTGAAGAAATTTCTCATAATACCCAATCTAAACTTCCCCTGGCACAACTTGAGGCCATTTCCTCTTGTCTTGTTGATTGTTACCTCAGAAAAGAGACTGACCCCCACTTGGCTACAACCTCCTTACAGGTGGTTGTAGAGAGTGATAAGGTCCCCCTGAGCCTCCTTTTCTCCAGGATAAACTACCGCAATTCCCTAAGTTGCTCCTCATGTGACTCGTGCTCCAGACCCTTCACCATCTCCACTGCCTTTCTCTGGACACGCTCCAGCACCTCAGGGTCTTTCTTGAAGTAACGGGCCCAGAACTGATCACAGGATTCAAGGTGCAGCCTCACTAGTGCTGAGTACAGGGGGATGATCACTGCCCTGGTCCTGCTGGCCACAGTATTGCTGATACAGGCCAGGGTGCCGTCTGGGCATCTGTATCTGGGCACCGTGCATGCTCGTGTTCAGCCAGCTGTCAACCATCTCTATAACTTAGGTGTTGGCCTATATTCAAAGCAAAATAAATGTAAATATCTGCAATTTTCTCTTTCCTTCTGTTTTTAAGATAATCTTGTGACCCTCCCTACTGTTGCCTCTCCATCAAGTTATGGAGTTGTTAGCAAATTCACTTAATCCAAAAGTTTTCATACCTACAAGAATTTGTGCAGCAGTGTAGAGCCTTCTCTCCAAATTCTGACAAAGTATTTTAGTTACTACATTTACAACTACTATGTAAGGAATGTTGTTTTGTCTGTCTGTTTATCTGATGCCATGTTTTCCACATAAAAAGTAGAGGCATATAAATAGTATAATTGAAAATATATTTCGTGTGTTTTACCTGATACCTTCTCTTTGCAGGAACTCTAGCTTTTTTCAGTGGTGCATTTGATGTTTTGCACTGGCTCTCAAAAACTACTTTGTAGAAGTGGTATTTAAGTAGTGTTCCAGAGACTGCATGAGATAGCCTGCTCAGCTGCTCTGTCTCTTCTCTTTCAGTCTGTAAATATAAAAGGTCTCTTCATAGAGGTAGAAATGTAACAATGGTAAACAAAGGTTCTGCAAATAATATTCTACAGTTTCTACAATTAATACTTCTGTTTGGTGTAACACAGGCTAAGATAAAACTATTTGTCAGAAGTCTTGGTTTATTTTGGGTAGTAGTGTGTATGTATTATCCGGACCTGGTTTGTAGAACTCTCTTCTACAGAGTATTTCTGAAGAGGAGTATTTAATAATGGACAGAATTGAATATTTATATTGATGACCAAGATTAAGATAAGTCCTTATTAAGATAAGTCCTTATTAAGATAAGTCCTTAGTTTATTACAAAGGGAACAAGGACACTAAAAACTATGTATTCAGGGCACTTGCACTAGGAAATAAGCAATCTGTTAGCAAACAAGCTTGGGAGGAAACTCATATTTGGATAGGCAGCTTATATCATTGGAGACTTTCTTACCTCTGCTGTTTCTGAGATACCAGTGCTACAGTCTGATTTAGCAGTTGCTGTATTCCTAGAAGCGTTGGGTCAGATCTTCAGTGTCTTAATTGTAGATAAATGGAAGGAAATCTCTCCTAGCTAAGGTACTTCCATTAGGCAAGAGTCAGATACAAAGAAAAAATTAAATTATGTTTGAATTTTGTTATAGGCAACTTGATCTTTATTGTGCTCAACCGATTTGTTTATGGAGAGAGTTCAGCTTTGTTAGAAGATCTGGATATCTAAAGCATAGCTTCTGTTATTTTTCAGCCAGCTTTCTAACTTCATCAGTTTTAGTTCTTTGTTCCTCTCCCTGGAATCTCTAAACCAATCGTATTGTGAAAACATGAAAAAAACCCCAACCCAAAGTCAAGAATATTTTCTTTCTGTTGTGACTGTTGTGTCATGCAATGTTCATGCATTAAAAATGATCAAAAAAAGCATGGTGGAATAGCAGGGGAGGGTGACTTCGAAGTACTTTGTCTCCTTCTCTTTTACACTGCAATGTGAATTAGGCTTTTTCACTCAAATACCCAAACTTATGAAAACCGTAAGCTAGGTGGAGAGTGTCATTCTGTTTCACTGAAGACTGTGTTGAGTTTGATTCACTGCTACATTACAGGAGGAACTGCAGCAAAACCTCCTGGTAATAACATGAAGAGCTGCAGAATCAGGACCTGTATCAGTTTTAATGCCGTTTGCAAAGAATGTGAATGTTGGATTTTTATTTTTTCCCCACGTCAATATTTTTTTCCTTTTCAACAGGATCTACTCTGTGTAGCTATGAACTGCAGTCATCAGAATATACTACAGACCCAAGGGCTGCCAAGTTATGTCCTAAATATCCTGTTCCAGAGAGGTAATATTAACATCTTGTCTGATTGGGGATGGAGGGAGCAGAGATTTGGGTTGATTGTGACAGTTCTTTAGAAAATACACAGCACACATTTACTCTTACCAGATGTTTTAGTGTATTTTTTAGAGGTTGTGAAAGTAACTCTTAAAGAAAAACCCAAACTATCTGTGGATGTGTTACTGAGGGTATTGAGCTGGTATCTGCAGGTTCTCTTCTGTCTCATGTGACTGACATTGTACTGTATCAGCTGCTTTACTGCCTTTCACCCTATCTATAGCCAGCTGCCTGTCAGCAATGCAGATCAGAGACAATTATGAAACACTTTTAATCTTCGTGAGGAGAAAGTATATAGGGACACACAGTTCTCTGCAGCATTCACTTCTACCTTACCTCAGCCAGCCAGATGAAAATTGCTTCATTTTTTACTCTTTTAGTCCCCAAATGATTAGAGGATAGTCAAGCACCAAAGAGATGACTGTATTTTACAAACAGATTATTTTGAATTTTATTGTTTTAAATATTATGTTAGACTGCTTTTTGTGAAATAGGATGGAAAAGTTGATAGCTTAATAAACTCTTCTAGCTGTGCTTGCTGGACCTGTGGAGATGAGTGTTGCTGAGAAAAGAAGTGATCTGTAAGCTGTTGTGCACACCCTTCTGTCAGTAATTCCACTAACTCAAGAAGAACCATGTTGTGTTTTCTCAAAGTTTAGCTTCTCAAACATGCTCATTAGTGGGTTGTAACGGCAAGTCTTTTCCTATGAATGGTTTTCTGTTATGGTTTTAGTAAATATTGTGTTCGTGTCAGTTCTAGAAACTCTGATTTGAAGTCTTTCTTGTTTACATGTTAGTGTCTCCAGTGAATATTTTTTTATATTGTAGTGACAATTAGTGGCATCTGAAATATTAACTTTTTTTTTACTATTCCCCACAGTAGATTCATGTTCCATGCAGCTAACCAGCTGTTATAGCAGTAATACAAAACCAAATGAAAACTTCAGTGCCAGCTTGCATACTGAAAAGGCTTGTTAGTCTTAATTTTTGCCAGAATGATATTGACTTTTCTCATTGTGTGTTCCCATGTCATTCAGTCTCAATGAATATGGCTTAATAAGAAAACAGAAGGATAGAACAATGTGTCAGAGCTCTAATGGTGCTATTTAAATTCCTCACAGAAATGACCCTAAGTTATTTTAAAAAAAATCTATTGTGTAAAGTGGAGTATTTTCCATTTTTCTATGTGATATTACTAAAATGTACACTATGTTTGAGTATTTTTGAGATTGAAAAGTCTGAATTTAGTACCCTAAGACAAAAAAGGCCAACATTGTATCTGTAAAGCGCCTTTCTTCAGGTTTTTATAGTTAAATTATTTGAGTAAGTTAGTGTAATTTGGAGGAGGAATGAAATCAGTCATTTGTTGAGACAACCAAATGAAAACCCAACACCTTGTAGACTGAGGCACTCATGGAGAACTTACCTAACACTCAGATTTGATCTGTGTCTTGGTTTAACCCCAGCCAGCAACCAAGCACCATACAGCTACTTGCTCACTCCTCCATCAGTAAAATCGGGCAGAGAATCAGAAGGGCCCCGTCAGTATATAGCACATAATGGTTTTGTGGGAAGACAAACACCATCATTCCAAATATCCCCCCTTTCTTCTTTCTTCCCCCCCACTTTATATGCTGAGCATGATGTCATATGGTCTGGAATATCCCTTTGGCCAGTTGGGGTCACCTTTCCTGGCCATGTCTCCTCCCAGCCTCCTCCCCACTGTGGCAGTACAAAAAGCAGAAAAGGCCTTGGTTCTGTGTAAGCCCTGCTCAGCAATAAGAAAAACATCTCTATATTATCAACCCTGTGTTCAGCACAAATCCAAAACACAGCCCCCTGCTAGCCACTGCCAAGAAAATTAACTGTACCCCGGCTGAAACCAGCACAATCTGCCAAGAGTTATGAACCATCTGATTCCCATGATGTCCATGGGAGGGAGGTGCCATATGGTGTAAGGACTGTCCCTTGATGTTTTCTGTTTGATGACCAGACTTCTTCACACCCTTCACTTGAGGCTCTCAATGGATTCTTACAGTCCAGCTTCAAGGCATTATGTCCAACTTTGACAGAGCAGTGCGGTCAGCGGTACATGTTTCTTCCAGAAACCATACCCAGCCCATATCAGCCTCAGGAGAGCATGACTTCACTGTTTTGAGGACCCTGGAGGAAAACCTGTCCAGTCCCTTCAGCAGCCCTGTGCCAAGGGGCTGCCCTGTAGAGGTTATAAACAGCAGCTAACAGTGGCATTCCAACCAGGCTCCCCTCACACAGGTTGCTGTATTTGCCCAGGGGCAGTAGTGAGAGGAAAAAACTCTCTGGAATCTAGTACTTGAATAATCAGATGGATCTCCTAACTTAATTTGAATATTGCTTTAAAAATACAACTTCTAAGACCATTGTGTGCTGGCTTGAACTTTATTCGTTCTTGTTTATGAATAAACATCGTGTTGCTATTCTTAGAAATTTGTAATTCCTTTTCAGTAGTTAAGATACCAAGATATAATCCAGAGGCCATATAAAATAGCATGGGTCATGGAGAATAGATCTGTTATTGTATTTTTTATTAAGACACTTCACCTCACATACTCATTCAGTCAGAACCACTGAAGCAGCAACAGATCTCAGGTGGATTTTCAGGAGTCCCATATGCTCAAGAAAGCTTGTAGAAACCACTAACCTCATTTTTTTATTATTAATTAAAACAAAGTTAGCAATTAATCACGGCACATGAAAATAAGTAACTTAAAATATTTAGTAAAATTGCTATAGGTTAAGGGATATTAGATGAGCAGTAATATAAACTGTCAAGCAAAAAGCATGTTTTCCTCTGTTGGAATATATTTTGGAAGAGTACTTTAATCCAATTAGTTCTTTTTTCAAAATGGATGGTTTTATGTTTGAATGCAGGAATGACATTCTTTTGCCTACATCCAGCTCAAAATTTGAGTTCTATTACTGATATTGACAATTTCTAAATGCTCTAGGCTTCCTGCAAAATTGTAGCAGTTAACAATTAAATAAACCTCTCAAATTTCAGTCTTTTCCAGTAATACTGCATATAATGAGCTGCAGTACACTGCATATTCCAAAACAGGTTATGTTGTAAGAGGCTGAAAGAATACATGGGCTGCCTTTTAAATGGGGCAGCCATCATTATGAGTTTAATTTGTTTTTTAACAACTGTGACTAATCCACAATTACTTTTTTTGCTGTGCTTAACTGCTGTCTTCATTACTACAAAAGTAGACCATCAGTGTGAGCATTTTGGAATGCATTTACCTACTCAGCACAGTAAGTTTAGAACAATAACATTTGCAATCATCAGTGACTTTAAACAAAAACCTAGGATCTACTAATTACTAAGGTATAGCAGGTGATCATAATTTCTCCCAATTTCTTTACAGAATAATTACACATGAATGGTTTTCAGCATGTCATCCTTTTTCCCCAAAAAACCCAATGTGTAGAAAAGATGTGCCTGAGGCAGCTGCTTTACTCACTATGTGTTTAAAATGGTTAAAATTTTGGAAAGGCGTGGGCTTGAAAAATAGTTATTGAGGACAGAAAATTGCTGGTTTATAGGTCATTACTGAAATAGGGAAACTGCAGAAGATTATGTGCTTTGCTGCTACAGTCCACTGAAATCTTTTAAGTAATGAAAATTGGGCAGGGTGAAACAAATACAGAGGTTGGAAGAGAAGACTGACATAATATGAAAGACACTTTCATGAGATCCAGTTACAGGAAGGAACATGTAATTCATGTCTGAAATGTAATTGGGAATTGATCAAATGATGTAATAGGCCACTTTGAGATCTGACATAGTTTATGAGCAAGAAAGACAGCTACTTAGTGGGAAACATTTAGAAAATAAAATTACCCACTTTTAAAGTACAGTTTTTACTGTCTTGTATCTTTCCCCGATGGACTTGACTACAGGTTCTTCCTGGCATTCTGCAAAGTTTAGTGCATAGTCTCAGTAGTTGTTTGGAGGATGCTTCCAAAACAGTTGAAAACAATAGAAGCATCCTTGCATATTCTGCGTAATTTTAACAAAGTTAATGAAAGTAAACCATGTGATTGTAATTTTTAATACAAGAATGAGTTCAATATGGGGAATAAATACATAGGTTTATATAGGAATAAATACATTGGTTTTTCTTGGCAGCAGTTGTAAATGCTGATGTCCTTTAGCACAAAATGTATGCTTTCAACAAGAGTACTGTTATTCTGTGATTTCTTTTGCTGCATGTAAGGGCCAGTATTTTATTCAAACATGAGTGAAAGGCATTGTTTCAGTTGCTGGTTCACCGCCTGACACTTGAATGAGAGATGTTTACGTGGAAATAGGAACATACATTTTCTGAGCCTTGTCATTTAATGGTGGGAGGGTAATAATTTCCTATTGGAACGTATACTCCAGTCTCACAGGGTTATTTGTAAGAACTGCATCACTTCCCATTATGGTCATCCTCATTCCAGTGGCACTTGTGCATTCAACGCATGGTTTCTGGTTATGATGTTATGAGGGTGGAATGATTGCATCTATTCACCTTTCATTTGTGTGTTGATGTGGCATTTATATTAAGTAGGAGTAATTTTTTTTTCTGATTTTTTTTTCTTGTGTCACCAGTGCACCTATTCCATTCTTCCATCGCTGTGCTCCTGTGAACATTTCCTGCTATGCCAAGTTTGCAGAGGCCCTGATCACCTTTGTCAGTGACAGTAGTGTCTTACACAGGCTGATTAGTGGAGTTATGACCAGCAAAGAGATTATAATGGGACTTTGCTTGTTATCACTAGGTAATTGTTTTTCTCATTACTAGCTATTTCTTAGTGTACTGCATTAGGAGATTGTTAACACCCTCTACCACAATATGAGCAAAAACCATGTATAATAGCAATGAGCCCTTAGAAATTATTCAGAATGCTTCTTTAAAATTTTATTTGACATCTGGGTAACTTTTTCAGAAGCAATATAGATATGCATTCCTGTTTTTATTTCTCTTCCACTGATTACAAGATAGAGGATGTGTGGCTGTTGATTAGCTAACATTAGTTTTGATATGGTTAAGAGAGCATCTCCATTTTCCTAATTTTTATTATAATATTCCCCTTTCCCATTTGCAGTAGTCATCTTCTGCTAATCCAGGTCCAAATAAACCCTTTCCAAATAAAAAGAACAGGGTGAGAAGTCCACAACAGCTCACTCCTGTTGAATGTAGGGGATTTAGTTTGTTTGGTTTAACATATTTGTGCAGGGATATGAGAACTATCAGAGTGAAAACAAGAAAGTTAGGTGCCTATTTGTTGTATTGTATGTTCCTTCTTCCCTTTCCCCCAAAATTTAAAACTTCAGGCCTTTAAAATCTGAGCCTTGTCTGAAGAGCTGGAAATTCCCAGCGGTATAGAGGTGCTGAATAGTTTCTGTAGTTGTGAGATGCCTATAGAGTGACACTTTGCACTGGACCAAGTATTGCTTTAACAAAATCTTGTTGTTTAAGATGGAATGTTACCCACCCACATAAACTGCTTACCTAGTGAGCCCTCATACCAAGTATAAAATCTGAAATACTAAAATGGGAGGATCAAGATAGTAGCCACATATATGAGCAGTGTGTGGTATAGATAGAAACACTGCAAAGCTCTGCTAGATATAAAAGTCCTTTGTTTTCAGTCTGCCTTTGTGGTTAAAAAAAAAAAAAAGAATTGGGGGGAAGGGAAAAAGAAAGGGGACAAAAAAAAGAAAAGAGGATGGTAGATACCATTAAAAAAAAAGACACACACACAAGACCATTGTGTGTGTTCAACTGTAACTGGAAAGCTGTTTATTCTTCTATCTTGATAGCTCCAGTATTTGATAATAATGGTAGAAAGATTGTTCAGAATCTAAAAGCTGGTGGCTCATTAGCAGTGCTACTGTTCAGTTAAGAGTCAGAAGTTAGTACAGAGTTTACATACAGTTAATTTAAAAAATAGTTTGCATAACTTCATAGTTAAACAGAAATTATTTATTTTAAAACAATGGGTTAGACTGTGATTCAGAAAGCCAGGTTCCAGTGGCTTTCGTGTAGCTGCTGAATACAGACATGTATGTGTAAAAATATGAATGTGCACTTGCGCACACCACTCACTTAACCTTAGTTAGCTGTAATAGTTTTTTACCCATGACTGGCGTGACATTTTGCAATACACAGGCATCATATTAACTGCACTTGTTTGACAAGTGTATCTGAGTGCAAATTCTGCTCTGGTCCTCAGGAGGTGTGCTCATGTTACCAAACTCGAACTACTATCATGTCTTGCTGTCTGTTTGGTCATTGTCTAAGTACCCCCCTGTCTGTGTGCACGCATTATGTCTTGTATTTAATGTATCATGTAAATGTATTTATGCTCTCTTTGTTTCAATCAACAGTATCAAAGCAGAAGTTGTAAAGGTGCCTAATTTTATTTATTGTTCAGTGAGTTCGTAGGCCTTGGAAAAGAAATCTTTGTGTAAGAATTCTGTTGGAAGGCAGTTGTCATAGCCCAGTGGGAAAATCTGGAAGGCTGTTTCTACTTGAAGTAATTGCTCTGCTTATTTTATTTGTCTTCTTTTGCAGTGTTGTCCATGATTTTGATGGTTATAATAAGGTACATTTCAAGAGTACTTGTCTGGATTGTAACAATTCTTGTCATTCTGGGATCACTTGGTAAGTCTTGTTTGTCTCCTAGTTTCTGAGTGCCCAGTTCTAATCTTTGTGCTCTGTGTCATCAGGCCAGCTGCATCCTGCACAGATCTTGGGCCATGCATTTCCTTTCAGCTTTCGATTGAGTCCCTTTCAAGATATACATCAAAAATGCCACCTTAGTAATTGCAGTCCTCTCCCAGAGACTATGTTGCTCCTTGCATATTTGCACTCCCTGCTTGGCAGGCAGGCTTCATGTCAGCCTCTAGGTCACTAGAGCCCACACAATCAGTGTGGGATATTCTCACAGCGCTTGTAACACAGCCCTAAATGTTGCCTGCAGTTCTTAACTGGCCTTCTAAATATGTCAGCACAGCATCTAGTCCGGGTGTGTCTGGTGGCACACCCGCCCCATCGGTGTATTCAGGCATGCAGGAATCAAAGGGCAGCTGCTGTTTATGCAGCCTGACATGTTTACAACCCTGACATGTTCATCAGCCCCTTCAGTCCTCTGAGTAGCTCTTTAAGACCTGTTCTTGAAGAGAGAAGGCAAAGGTGCTTTTCTAGCGTTCCTAATAAAATCTCTGTATTTCCATATGACTCAGGAAGACCTGCGTGTGAAATGCCATGCTGTATTGGAAGTGGCCAAAGATGATGTAGTTTGCATGAAAATAGGCTTATTTTATCACAATAACTTTAAAATTTGTAAAACTGAAGTTTTCTATTATTGTTACTCAGTAGCTAAGCCAAAATGTATGTGCAGATGACTGAAGGGCAGGAATAAAAGTAGAATAATCATATGAGGAAGCACTAGTGATTTAATTCTTGCAATTCATGTCTGCAAGCGATGAAAAAAAATCAGCAGACCTTCTGTATTTTTTCACGATCGCTTTGTTTTTCTGCTTATTGGTCTCAGGGCCTGTGACCACAGAAAAGTAAAAAAATAATTTTTTTTTCATTGATATTCTTTTTAGAAGCTGATCGGCTATACTGAGTTACTTATTACCATCTGTTACTATGTTCTAAAAAGTTTCATCCAATACAGAAACTGAATAAGAACCAATCACTTGTGAGACATGCTGCTGGTTCTGTCTTCACTGTTTGTTTAGGAGGTGCCAAAAGAGCATTCTTCATTTCAGACCTGAACAGGGTAGCTTCAGCATAAACTTGTGATCACAGAATGTGTAAGATTGGAAGGGACCACAGAGGCTCATCTGGTACAACCCCCCTGCTAAGCTTATGCATTTGATTCAGAAATAACAAGAGAACATACTCAAAAGAGAAGAAAGTGTATCAGAGGGGAGAGGTTATATCCCTGAGGGGCTGGAGACCTGTCCTTTAGAAAAGTTCTGTCTCGGAAAGACAGCTAGAATGGGAGAATAATATTCTGGCAATAAGGCTAGGATTTTGTAACAGTGGTTAGAAGATAGTACCTCACATATTATTAGCCTCCTGTGCTTTTTACTGATGTTTGTCCCACTGCCCTTGACATTGTCTGAAACAAGTGTACCTACATATCATTAACCTGAGGTGCTTTTGCCAGCATTAGGCTGATCCTTCTTGTTTTGATTAGTCTTCCCAGGAATTGTAGACTCCTTGTTTTGTTGTTACTTCACATCATAATCCAGAAGTCCCTCTCTGTTCCCCCTCCTAAATTCTTACTCCCTGCATTATTATACACTTGTATACATCCATCCATCCATCCGTATAATTCTTTATTCCTTTTGTTCCTGTATTACCTGTCTAGTGGGAGCTGTGTTTTTCGTTGTTGGGGCTCCTCATGAACTAGTTCTTTCATGCACTTCACCCTAAAACATGGAGTCAAGGTTCTGCAAGTCTCTTAAGTTGTTGCAGTGGGATGAGACTGTGAAAAGAGTATATTCACTTCAGAGGAGGGCAACAGAGTAGAACCGAGCACTTCTCCCTCCCCTGAAGTTCCTGTTGGGTTGAGCATGAGTGCTCTTGAGTATTCTGTACCAGACTAAACTTACAAGAAGGAACTGTTTCATTTCCTTGGGACTAGGTAGTATGACTGTCATACAGAGGAAGTGTCTTTCATTTATCCTTTTTTTCTTTCTCACTAAAACACAGGTGGTACAGGAGTCCTGTGGTGGCTCTATGCTAAGAAACGAATGTCTGCCAGTGCTCTCGAGACTCAAATAGCCAAAGACAATCTTCAGGCTCTCTTGATCTATGCCATTGCAGCTACAGTCTTCACGGTATGCTTTGCTAATGAGTGTACTATTTTCTTGTTCTGACTTCCTTTTGGTCTCTAATTTTTTTTATTCAGGGGAAAGGTTTTTATTGCAGACATTTTTGAACAGTTTATTTCTGCCACAAGTTCTGTTGCAGTGATTTTTTTTTTTATTTTGTTATTTTATTTTTTTAACTTTCAGGAACTGTTCCCTAATATCTGATTTTGAGTCAGGAGAGACCTTCTAAACCCTGCAGCTACTTTCGACTACTGTAAAATGTCCACAGGGACTTCCAAGAATAGGTACAATATTGGACTGCAAATCCAAAGAGATTTTTCTTAGGTTCCCAGTTCAGAGGTACTTAGTCATTTTAGTGTATCTAAAAGTCCTTAGGATATTCCTACTTCTTGAAATTAGTTGTTCCCAAATTTGTTCCGTTTACAGAAGGATCATTGTGAACTGAAATGCTAACACTGATTATCTTGTTTGGGCCCTGCTGTTAATTTCACAGTCACTGACTTTACTTTTAAAAATTGACAATGTTTGACTAACTTCCCAGGAATTGTAGACTCCCTCTTTTGCTCTTCTTCTTGTTTCACATCCTAATCAAAAGGTCCCTCTCTGTTCCCCTTCCTAAATTCTTACTCCCTGCATTTTTATAGATACGTACATACTACAAGACCACCACACCAGATATAAATGGTCAGATATAAATGTTAAATTGTATTCTTTGTTAAAACTTGCTGATTTCACTGGTTTGTACAACATAATTGGGGATAGAATCTAGTCTAATCTCATCAGCCTAAGGCTGATGATGATTTCAAATACATAATCATGAGACTGGAATTCCACGAAAGTATAACCTGGAAAATAATTTATCACCAGAAGAAGCTAACAGCGGTTTTGCATTTTGATTTTGTGATCTTATAAATGTGTTTAATTTAGCGTGTTTGAATATCCTAGCTTTGTGAAATAATAGCTCGCTTATTTTTCAGTTCTCTAAAATGTGATTTGGAAACTTCTCCCTCTAGGTTATCTTATTCTTGATCATGTTAATAATGCGCAAAAGAGTAGCTCTCACCATTGCCTTGTTCCACGTGGCCGGCAAAGTCTTCATTCACCTGCCACTGCTAGTCTTCCAGCCATTTTGGACATTCTTTGTGCTCATCCTCTTCTGGGCATACTGGATCACAGTCCTGCTTTTCCTTGGTACTACAGGTGAGCATCTGTTGCTTATTTTAAATAATTTTCACCTACCTTTTGTGTGTTTTCGAGCAGAGTTGGCTAAAAAGCATGTGGGAACCTCTAAGAAAAAAAAGCCCACCTGTTGTGCTTCTGTTCTCACCTGCTTCACTGACTTCAAAACACTTATTTCAAGAAAGTTATTGTGCATTTGAGTCTGCATTCTCACGTCGTACTTTGTGTGTTAGACTGGCTTTTTATTTTGATGCAAGTTGGCATGTTGCAAACCACAAGACTCTGTTAATACAACTTCTATAACAATTTTTTTCAATAATTCCGCCTAATTTTACACAAGCAAGTTAAAAACAGCATAATCTTGCAGCTGATCTCTCCAAGTAATTGTATGGTAGCCAGTGCTCACACAGATGAAGGCATCGTAATGAAAGGACTGTTCCACAGAATTGCTGTCTCCCACAATGTAAATATAGTGGAATTCATTTTCAGTTGTTTGTAACTTAGGTTTCCATTATTATTCCACAATTATTAGGGAGATTCTTCTGCTCTCTGTACACTGTATTCTGAGACTAGCCAATGTATTCTTAATTCCAGCCTGCTGTGAAGACCGTAAAAGGTGAAAGCTTTGTGTTCGGGGTCTGACAAGACCTTCTAGAATTAGTCAGTCCTATAGGTCCAAATCTTAGTCACTTCAGCAAAGAAACTTTGCAGTTGCTTTTTAAGATGGGAGATGTCTGCGTTATTTTGCAGTGCGTTGCAGGCGATGCAGACTGTCATTCACTGTTCAAATCTAAGAATTTTGAAATGTGTTGTTTACTGCCGATCCAAAAGTAGCAGTGTTTCAGGTCACAAAGCTATTTCACAATAATACAATATGAGTATTTTTTAATATCCCGAGTTCTTTAGTGAGGGTTGGAGGTAACACTTCATGTGTTCTTGTTCTCGTTACTGCTGAAATTTTTAGCTTTCGTTACATGCTGTGTGACGTGCAGAAAATGTTTCCCTCTGAAAGTCTCAGCCCCGTGCTTCACTCTCTGAGTCAGGTCACTGCACGGGCACTAAATTTGTAGCAGAATTTAGTCTGATATTATATTTTACTGACAGAACCCTTCAACTAGCCTTGATTCTGTAAAAGTTAATTTATCCTTTTAGCTTATATGCACTCATTATCTTCACTGTTATCAGTTAGGAGTGTTCTGGCATGCTGTCAGTCTCTGTATGTGATACTGCTATTCACATTAGACAAAGAGTCAGTAAATTTCTGAATGTATGAAATCGTATGTTTAGAATCTCTACAGCTGTTCCATATGTCTGTAAATAGCTTTAGAACTACACAAACATTGTTGAAATACTTGTACAAAGACCTACCATAAGGAAAGCAAAAGTGATTGTTAGTGTTGACATATAGATGTAAGGAGCTATGAAGTTTAATATTGATTCTTGCTGTGTGAATAATACTGATAGAGCAGCAAACTCAAAGTAAGAATGACTGAAGAAGTAGGCTTCTATTATGTTTAACTATAGGGAGTTTTGCCATGTGATGGTGGTTCATTGTGGAAATTTTCACCATGTGGCTGAAAATTAAAGTGTTGCAGGATTTTGAGCGTGCTCAGAATATTTTTTATGGCTTTTTTCAAGTGCCATTATACTGATTGTCTCAAAAACTGTATCTTTCTTAAGAACAATCTTCCTAAACATGACATTTAAAACTTAGTAGAAGCTGGATGGGTTCTGCTGTAACTGCTTGTGACCTGCTAATGCCATATGCTTCCTTATTTATGAGCTGATGTAAGCACCATCTTCTTTTTTCACCCTCATTTATTTCTAGGTAGTCCTGTCCCAAATGAAGAAGGATTTGTCGAATTTCGGATGGTAGGTCCTTTGAAATACATGTGGTGGTACCATGCAGTAGGACTCATCTGGATCAGCGAGTTTATCCTCGCCTGTCAGCAGATGACAGTAGCAGGGGCTGTTGTGACATACTATTTTACAAGGTAAGGACAACTTAGATAGCTCTACCAGGAGTTGCCTAGACATTGATTTTGCAAAAATAATGAGGGACAGAGGTCTTGGGGAGAATACTTGTTTCTGTCTTGAAAGCTGGGGAGCCATTAAATTGTCTTGACTCTTTAAATCACATGAAGTCCTAAAATACGTGTTTTGCTGATTATAGATGGTGTTCTTGACATTTAGGACTTGAAGTCTCATTTGGCTTGTAACTTGTGCACATTGTACAGGCATGGATGGTTGTTTACAAAGCAGGATGCACCTGGAAGGTCATCTGTGTTGCTAATAATTAATGCTGATAAATTCTGTAGAGATTAAAAAATATTGACAGCATCTGATTATTATTTTAATTGCAAAAGAGTGCCCTTTAAATTATTTACAGTGCTTCATTAATCTTCATTAATCTTTCTTTCACAGGATTACTTGAGGTCTTATTAGATTCATCACTTACATATAGATTATGTCAAGATTATATAAAAATAAAAAATTATATGAACTATATGTGCATTAAAGCTCCATATTTCATTGCTAAATTTGTGAACTAAACTGTGTATCAGGGCATACTTTGTGCTGGCTGTTCTGCATGTATCTGCTGGCTGTCCAAGAAAGAAATACTAATTATTAGGCAATGGTTTTACAAAGCAAGAATTGTGCTTTACAGAGCTAATTTCAGAATTGCAAACTTAGATTTAGCCTCTAGTATCTGAAAACATTTTGAATTTAATATTGCTTAAAATTTTATCTTTAATAAGTCACTAATATGTGGCTTAAATAGCCATTTAGGACCCAGATTTTTCAGAAAAAAAAAATTGGTATCAGATGCTTTGTTAGTGTTTCATGAGAATAAATGGTACTTTGGTGATCTGATATATTAAATTTTGGAATGTGGAGCAGAACTATGTGGAGCATTATTTTTGGTAAGGGAAAGAAGAAAGTACACCGTTACTTACTTTGGAGAGATATAGTTGAATGAAACTTCTCCACATGTCATTGTAGATTCTAGTAGTTCATATGTTTCTTTAACCCCCCCCCCCCACAAACCACTGCATCATTGTTCAGTGACTAGATAACTAATTTTATTTCAGATGTTCTCAAAGTCTTTTCCAAACAATATAAATACAACTCCTCTGAATAAAGAACAACACGAGTACAATACATTGGCAAGGTATTTAGCAATGGTAGTTTACTTAAGAAAGGGAAAACCGTATAGATATTGGAGTGATGCTATCCCCAAGTGAAAAAGAGCATTAGTATCCTGAACTCATGCTGTACTGATGTCCAGCAACCATACTCTGTTCTTGCCATGTGCTTTTAAGAGTCTGTTCTTTAAAAAAAAATAGATGTTTTTAAATAATGTATGCAGGTATTTTTCAAGTGGCATAATTCAGATCATGAGTGTTTAGTTGGTTTGTCTTTTTAATTGAGGCTGTTACCTGAACTACATTTGACTCCTTTTTCTGCCCTAGTCTTTAAGCATTATCAAAGGCAAGGAATCAATTTACTGTGCTGTCAGAAATTCTGTTGTTTTATTAATGATTAAGTCCTCCAGTATACCAATGAAATACATCTATGAAATTATTACAAAATGTTACAGGGATGTAATCTTGTGAATAATTAAAATAGATTGAAGAGTGAGGAAAATACAGAAGAAGGAGAAAGACATTGCATTGAAATAGATTGCTTAGCAACATGTATGCTTCATCTGTAAGTTTTGTATTTTCTGACACCTGAGGGTGAATGACTTTTATTTGAACCATACCCTATAATTCCATAACAGGAATCTTATTTTATGTTAGTAAATACTCATTTCTCTCTACTATTATCCTCTTTTTGCATTTTAAGGTACAATCATAATCTAAAAAGTGACTTAGTAAGAAGGGAAAAGGCATTAATTTGGACCCATTATTTTGCATATGAGCAACTTTCCACCGCAAATGAGATGAAGTTATCCATGGAGAAATGTTTTGTATTAAGTTCACTGTTCATTCACCTGAGCCAGATGGATTTCTTTCAACTCAGGCAATAACAGAGCTCAAAGTGTTTTGAATTACAGACTCTGCCCTGATAATGAGGAACCTGAAACTTTTTACCTGAAAACAAGGAAGTGTTTAGGTTGTCAGGGTGTAAGACTCAAACTATTTATCCGTATTCTACTCCCAACAAGGAGCAGAGTTTGGCTTCCCACCCCTTCAGCTCTAAAAGTCAACTGAAAGAAAATACAGGGTTAACCTATTTTAATCATTAACATCTCAGGATTAAGTTATGGAGATATTAGTTTCATGGAATGAAGGCTGTACTTTTTTATCTTTTCTGAATGAAACTCACATCTCTTCCCGAGCTGGGGAGATACTTTATCTTTGTAATGTGTAGCACATGTTCCTTTAATATGCTTATTATCCTGCTCTTATTTCTAATAAAGAAGAAGAGCAATTCTTTAAATGGTTAATAGAGCTGTTCTTTAAGAGAGAAATAGAATTGGCTTCCTTGGTAGGAAAGAAAAATAAACACTCTAAAAGGACTAGCTTCAAACCATGAAAGTGAGTATTCTTCTGATAAATTAAAAATACTCTAGCTGCATTGGGTTAAATAACTTTTTTAAGGTCCAGCACTTGGTGTCTTGAGGATATAATAGCTAAATCAGAAATGCAAAAAGTGTGAGAAAAAGAATTTACCTAATAAATTAGTTACATCCTCTCCAAAGTCTACATAAAGATCTCCAACAGAACAGGAGAAAAGTAGAAGGCATTGTTTCTCACTTCCTTGTAAGGTTTGAATTTGCAATGTAACTGTATAGAAACTGCTAGGTGTTAATAGTGGGTAATGCAGCTAATGCTAGTAAAACTATCACCAGTTAGTGTTTTAAGTCACTTGAAGAATCACCAGCAAAGGTATTGGCAAAAGTAGTTTTAATATAAAGGTAAAAGTGTGACATAAATCATTGACAAGGTTCACTCTACTACTCTACTAGATGCCTAAAGCACACAGAGAAAAAAAAAATCTAAAATCAATCAAACTAAAACTAAAATCAACCTAAAATTATCTATGCAGAGGCTGAGGAAGGAAAAAGTATAAGGATGGGAAAGGATATGGATAAAAAGGAATGATGGAGACCCTTCCATTGAGTCACAAGGTTCGGAGCGGACCGCCTTGCCAAATTTAGCCCTGGATTTAAACAGCAGTTTAGGCCTAGAGGTTTTAACAGCACTTAAAATTACTTAATCAATAGCCTAATTTAAACAACTTAGCAAAAGATTCTGTAGAATTTATTATAAGCACAACAGTAACTCATTTAGAGGCCTAACTTACTGACCAGTATAACACTCGTAATACATAGTACATACACTTGCACACGCACAGACCTAAAGCAGTGTGTACAAGGTATCTACCTGTGAAAAATTCCCCCCAAGTTCACTGAAGTTCTCACATCAGATGCCTTTGCATCTTCTCAGCTGGCAAAGGTTGAGCTTTGAGGAATGGAGATATCAGCCCAGGCTCCACTGGCAGCGCTTGACATCAGTCCTCCAAGTATACCAAACTTGGGAGTTCTGTGGCTCTGAAAAGCACCCCACTCAGAGGGAGATTGCTGGTCACAGACAGCTGTGGTACAGGAGTTTGTAGGGTTGCAAGAGCATTTGCTTTAGTGATAGGAATTTTCCATCCTTACTGCAATTTGGGTCGGTAACTTCCTTGGAAAGTTCAATAACAAAAATGTTGTTCCACTTAGGTTGTTATTCAGGCGCAAAAAGCAAGTTTCTAAAGCTGTTCGTTAAAAAACAGGAGCTCATTAGACAGGACAGGTTCCGGGGAGCAGACGGTGTTTCTGATATACTCAAGAGGAGCTGAGCCCAGGTGCTCTTTGCCAAGGCCTACCGAGCATTTCTGAGATCCTAGTGCAGCCCAAAGAGGGTGGGGAAGAAGGGGATGTACCACCACACTACCTATATGACATACTGATTCCTTATTCTAGTCCTACTTCTCCATTGGAGACAAATCTGTGAGTTACACAAGGTGGAGTGAACAATACACCCTGAAAGCTGGTATGAGGATAATATATTCCTTTTGCACCTTATTTTATTGAAGATTTATAGCACTTCTAGATGGTACCACATACATGCTGATCGTTCTACTTCATTTTTTTTTCTCTTTTCAACAGGGAGAAAAGAAATCTGCCATTTACTCCTATTCTGGCATCTGTTAATCGCCTTGTTTGTTACCACCTAGGAACAGTAGCAAAGGGGTCTTTCATTATCACACTAGTGAAGATACCACGAATGATTCTAATGTATATTCAAACACAACTCAAAGGAAAAGTAAGAGAAATAGGTTCCATTTTCTTACTGAAAATTAAGGCCTGGTGTGTTGACCTGTTAATTTGATCGGTGTGGGAGGCTTGAAGTCTCGTTTTGGAATAGGTTAGATGTAATGGAGAAATTCTTCACTATAAGGTGGTGAGGCACTAGAACAGGTTGCCCAGAGAAGTTGTGGATGCCCCATCCCTGGAAGTGTTCAAAAGCACGTTGGATGGGGCTTTGAGCAACCTGGGCTAGTGAAAGATGTCCCTGCCCATGGTGGGGGGAGTCCCTTCCAACCCAAACCGTTCTATGGCTCTGTGAATATTGAATCTTTAAAAGACCGTGGGACTGATATGGATTGCTTAATTTAGCAATCTGAGTATCAGTTACTGAAACACGAAGGAATACTATTTTCTTAAGATCTGTTGGTTTTACTCTTTATCTTTGTTTTCCCACATTTTGTGCTTTCCTAGGAAAATGCTTGTGCTCGCTGTATGCTTAAAGCCTGCATCTGCTGCCTTTGGTGTCTAGAAAAGTGCCTGACATACTTAAATCAGGTAAGATTTTCAATATTCATGTTTTATATAAGGGCTGATAATTGTATATATATTCCCAGGCTGCAGTCTGAGGCTGACATATAATGTATTGTACTTGGGAACTGAACTTGAATGACAGTATTTCAGCCTTGTCTTCATTGCTGAAATTACACTGCAAATACTAGATTGACCTTTGCAATGTAAACAAAGACAAAAGAATAGCCAATACTCGTCTTTGTGAACATGGTATCTCAACTTTATAATGATTTGTGTAGTGCTTGGAGATGTTTCCCATATGTCTACTCAGTAAAACCACATCTGAATTTCAAAATGTGTCTCCTGTGAAAACAGAATGAAGCTTTTTAAGTGTAATATTTAAGATTCACACAATGCAGAAACTGTACAAAACATCAAATCATCAGCATCATTTACAAAGTGGAAGAAAATTTGCAAGTTGCAGCACGCTGGCTGGTCAGACCCATTGTAAAAATGGGTTTATAGGCCTTTAGTCCATCTCTCATGTGTATATATATAAATATCTTGCTAACATTTCTTTCACTGTTAATTTCTTTTGCTTGTGGAGATATAGAAAATAAAATCAGAAGAAAGCATTTAATAAACCCCATTGTAATCCTTGAAAACTGTCCTGACTAACCTTGAATGCAGTACCTAGAAATTATCTTGTTTGACTTGTATGACTCTCAGACTCTTTTGTATTTCCAGATTTTTTTCTAACTACTTAATTTCTGTAGCTATGCCACTGCTCACCTCCTTCTGCAGAGAAATTGCAAATCCTGTTTAATGAGGTTTTTTTGAAAAAACTAGTTAATGCATAAATTATGAGCAAAGGAGAAGAAGAATAGCAGTTCTTTACCTCATATAGTCTTCTGTCAGCTGCTATATATTGCTCGATTCAACAGCTCTCAGGGGAATGTTGGTTCATTAACATCATATGACGAATGTGACTTACTGTGTCTTCCCCCTCACCTTCCCCACCTTCCATCTGAAATACCTGATCATTCCATGAATAAGTCTTCAATCTCCTTTTCCTAGAATGCATATACAGCCACAGCTATCAACAGCACCAATTTCTGCACCTCAGCAAAGGATGCCTTTGTTATCCTGGTGGAAAACGCTTTGCGAGTGGCTGCCATAAACACAGTTGGAGATTTTATGCTGTTCCTAGGAAAGGTATGTCTGCTGATACAGTTCTTACAGACCTACATACAAGCAAGCTTTCTTTAGCAATGGCTGCACCCCAAACGCAATATGCCTTAAAAATCCTGTTTCTTAGTGTGCACTTATCATGTCCAGCTGCATCCCATTAGTAGGGGCTTTGTAGAGTAGAGAGGATAAACAAATAATGTACTGACATGTAGTAAAAGTGACTAGAGAGGAATACCTGAAGATTATGACACCTTTTGCATGATTTATTTTTTAGGGAGTCAAGAGAAAAGTGTTTAGAAGTTCTAGGGTTTTGTTTGATTTTGTGGTTAAAACGTAGAATTCTAAGGAGAGGAAGCATTTCTTTTAAATTCTGTTCAGTAAGGGCTCTCCAGGCTTATGTTGAAAATTTGACACATTACTGATCACCTGTATGATCAAATTGTACAAAAACCTGCTATGAGTAATTGCCAGCTTAAGCAACTAAGTTACCTCTACTCTGATAATTAAAAGGAGACTAGAATAGTTGCTGTGGTCAGTCAGCTTTTTGGGTCTCCAACTGATGGAGATATACTTTATGGAAAGTGTAGTATTTCTATCCTTTGAAGGATTTTATGCCATTATTTACTAAAACAATTAATACCAATCTACTTAAATCACCTGTGCCTAAGCATTCAGACAGTGGTTGAACTCATCTGTATTTCTTATTACACTCCTCTACTTCTGTTAAGTCAGAGTACAGTGGGCTGAACTTTGAATCCAGTAACTAAGTCAGTAAGATGTGAGAAGGAATAAACACATAAGGGAGACATAAGTGCTTGAGAGAACATGAAATTACATAATGCAGTTTTGTGGAGGAGTTGGGAAACACCCCGCAGTCTCTCAGATTATTAGAAAAATGCACAGGTGACAGAAATGTTAAAATGAACAGTGTCCAGCATGTAAAAAATACCATCAGCTAAATCAGTGCTAGGCTGCCAGCATCTCCTCTACCAGTCCAAAATGGTATTTTCATAAAAGCTGACCTATTTTACAATTTTATGTTTAGCTGCAGTTCATAATAATAGGGTCAGAAATGTTCAAAAAGTTAAGTGGCCACAACAATTTAGTCCATTTGGTTTTGCCAAAATCAAACTGGTACCTGGTGAAATGTCTGTTAGGGCCTCACATGAAGTATAATTCTGTGGAGACTGTTACATGAAGTGCCTCACATGAATTCTGGTCTTCTCCTGTATGGAGATAAAGACTCCACAAGTTTGGAAGTTGTTTCCAGCAGCAAAATGGAAAATGTACCATCCTCTTAAGACCTAAGTTCTCCCTCCAACCAACCAAAAAAACCCCCAAAAAAACAACAAAACAACTGGGTGGGATTGGTAGCATCAGGTTGTGGGGCTTTTAGAGATTACAAGATAAAGTTCCTTTTTACAGGAATGTTCTATAAAACTAGAACTATGACAGCAGAATATAAATATAATTTGCTCTGAAAAATACCTTTTGTATTAAAGGATGTGTAACAATTCTGATATCAATGGATAAAATGTCATTTATAATTGGGGATGTGGGGAATCCAGGAGGTAAAGATGTTGTTACCACTAGTATCTGTAACCCCTCATTCTAGCCCTGGCAGGCCAAGAAGCACATTGGCTTTAAAAAAATAAACCAAGCAAAAAACATCAAAAGGCTTCTACCATTAGAGTTGTCTACTGTTTTCTTCTTCAGGTCCTGATTGTCTGCAGCACAGGTTTGGCTGGCGTTATGTTGCTGAATTACCAACGAGATTACACCATCTGGGTGCTGCCACTCATCATTGTCTGCCTCTTTGCATTCCTGGTTGCTCACTGCTTCCTTTCTATTTATGAAATGGTTGTTGATGTCCTTTTCTTATGTTTTGCCATCGATACAAAATACAACGATGGGAGTCCTGGGAGGGAATTCTACATGGATAAAGTTCTCATGGTAAGTTTCCTCTTGCTCTCAAAGTCTAAGGATCTGGTTCCATAGAATAGGTATTTTGACAGTGGAATGAATTCACTTGCTGGGTTTAATGTTTTGGTTTTTTTTTTTTTTTTTTTACCTTGCCACCTTGTTCATGGCTTGACCTGCAAACAGTGTAGTCTGATGAGCATCAGATAAGTGATGATGCTTCCTTCCCTTAGTACAACTGTTATTGGCTTCTATTTGCTGCCTGTTAGATGAGCAGTCATCTTGCAGAATCATACTCTTGGGTATCATGTCTTGTAAATGACACTGCAGGTCAGAAAGAAGCAGAACAAGAGGGAAAGGCTTGGTTTTGTGCTTTCCTAAGAAGGACATCTCTTTGGATAGGGAAGAGGAAAAATATCAGAGTATTCTACCTTACACATAGATAATGACCACAGTGGAGTTTTACTTCTTTCAGATAGACATCAACCAGAATTTGACTGTCTGTCATACGTAGGCTTTATGCTAGAAACAAAGTTGTAAGAATTCTGCTTCCAAAACCCTTCACTTTGTTGTTGAGTAGGTAGTTTTCGTGAGAGTGTTTTTAAGTAGCAGCTGTAGAATATGTCTCTGTAAAATGCCCCCCCCATGCATGGGCTAGAGGAAGATTCTTATGACTTCTCAGTCATAGAAAAAGTTTTTTTTCTGATTACTTGTGGGAAAACCATGCCGAGAATTTTGGTGCTGATTTTTTGGTAAATCACAACAGAATCTAGAGTATATAATAAATAGAGTGGTGGCTGATGAGTTAATAAAAATAAACCATAAAAGCATTGTAGGTTTCTTTAGTTGTGCAGTCAATATCACAAAACACGAGCAGCTAAAGTTTACTGAAATTTTCTGCAGAATGCTTGCCTGCAAGAGAAAAAGAATTGTATAAAATTGAATTAGCTTTGCTAATCTTCGTAAATGGGAGATTGTACTGGTGAAAAATTTAAGAGATTGAAATTACACACAGTTCACAGGCTACAGTGTAATAGCTGAGACTAGGATGGTGGTGGGGGAAGGTTTGTTGTGGTTTGGTTGCGGGTTTGGTTTTTGGTTTTGGTTTGTGGGTTTGGGTTTGGTTTTTTTTTGGTCAACCAGCCTTTTACCTTCTTTCCCCATAAAGGAGAGCATTGCGTGGTACATGGAAAAGTTGTAAGAGCACACCAGGCAAATACCTGTCTGGCTTCCAGAATTAAATGAGGGAGGCCTTTGTGGATATTTGACAGGCTTTTCTGATACCTCATGGTCAAGTCTGAGCAAGAGATGCAGATGGGCTTGATGTTTTGAGCAGTTGCATCTTGAAGGTCTGTCTTGAGACTTGATGTTTTAGAGTCCGTGCTAAGAGAGCACTTGTCGTTTCATTACTGTTTTTCAGGAGTTTGTGGAGAATAGTAGGAAATCTATGAAAGAAGCTGGCCGGGGAGGTGGAGCTGAGAGCAGAGAGCTAAAACCAATGGTAGGTGCAGATGAGGAGGTGGCGATCCTCCAAGAGTTTCACTTTTACTTCTTCTCCCTCTTTGTCTTTACTGACTGCACTTCTTCAGGAGAAGTTTTTGTTCTCTGTATCACTCAAGATGTTCTGCTTTTTCTGTTTGTGAGCTTGCCTATCACCTGGATGGCAGAGTTTTTGTCACAGCTGAGACCATCTCCTGTAAAAGTAAGATGAAAGGAACTGTCTCATATGAAACAAATGCAGTATATTTCATTAGGATTCGTGAGGCATGCTATGTGGTGTACACAGACAGCCCCAGTTGCTGTTTAGTCTAAAAATAAGATGGCTCTGAAATTCATTGGGCTATTCTGACTTTAATCTCTTCTCAGCCCTGAGATGAACAATTTTTGCTCATGTTACATTCACTGCAAAAGCCTGAAGAACACTACTGAGCGCAGCCATTGTTGCAAAGTAGGACCAGGCATTTAAAGCCCTCACCAAATTATCTTACACCATGCCAAGGAATTGGATAGAGTGATTCCTTTCAACCTGCTCAAATGACATTTCTCCCAGTTGTTTGTTTTTATTGCGAACTACTTATGTTGCTTGTCTCTTGTGTGCTCTTTCCATCTCACACTGTCAGATGCACAGACAGTGAACAATGCATCATTTATGCTTTTGCAGCCTGTTTTACTTATGGTGTGCCTGTTAGGAAGGCATTGCATGTCTGAGTAGCCTGGAATAAGGAACACTATACGTGGTACAGATAACAGATAGGAGGATAAGTTTGGAAGGTGGAGAACAGAGAGCGTATAATGGAGAGCCAGTCTGGGCAAGGTACGACTTGTCATCGTGCAATATGATTTTGTGAAATAGAATATTTTTTTCTGCCATTACTTTCTCAGAGCGTTTGGGGTCTGAGTCATTTCCATACTATGGGGATAATTTTTTAACCAAATGGAATCTAAATAAGTGTATGCTAACAGAAGAATTTCTTTTTTTTCAACAATGTACATGAAGCCATTTTGCATGAGCACTTTTTGAACAAGCTGGAATGGGTTCCTGCTATAGACTGATGTGTAGCTTTGCGTGTTTTGCTATTTCATTATGGCATACCACTCTCTAGATTTGCTTATGCCTAAATGCTGCTGTGTTTATACATATGAAAAACTAATTCTATGCTCATTTACTGTTTCTTCTGGGAGTAATTCTAGCTGTTCAAACAGACACTAATGTTGGGATTTTCAGAGTGATCCAAATGCTGTAGATGCAAATGTGCCATTAAAAATGATTGAGACTTTGGGTGTGCAAACCCTCTAGTCACATGCACAAAAATTTCAGTTCAAAATTTTATTATGTAGTGGTTTTCCACTTACACTGTTGTTGGTACTATCACAGACCGCTACTTATACTTTTGTACCTGACTGCCTAAAGCTCGGATGTGAAAAACCTTTATTCACCCCGCCCCTTACAAAAGGGCAAACAGAGTTACCTGCAAGTCAAGGGTGGTGTTATTCTTGTAGGAACTTGTTTCTAGGCACTCGAGCCTGGTACTGCCTGAAAGTCCTCATAGGACTACTGCAGAAGATGCTGAGCACTTGGGGCTCAGCATGGGAGTCACCTGCTGAATTACTCCCAGTTCTGCTGCTCATGTGATTGTTTTGTTTGGAACTGATTGGGCCTTGTTTTCTCAAGTGGCTTTCCATTTTTGGGCATTCAGCTCCAGTTGAGTGGGTTTTGAAATACTAGGGTCTCACTTCCTGATGAGGATGGGACACAGTGGTTACCTCCGTTAAATTTCTGATACCTTCCCCAAAGTGTCAATAAAGGCCTCAGTTATGTCTGGCATAGAACCATTCATAAGTCTATCCTGTAATGGTAGTGCCCATAGTCTCAAAATTGCACGTCTGAAAATGAGATTACTACTACTATTTTTCCTGTTCTTTTAGAAATAGAATCTCTACTGTCTTGCTTCAGTACCCTTGAAATGCAGATATTTCTTAGAATATGACAATTATTTCTGAAAGTGAAACACCCTAAGTGGAGTTGTGCTTAAAGTAGGTAATAATAGCAGAGACGAGGAAACATTTAGGACCTTCTGTTCTTGTATCAGGGCACAAGAAAAAAAAAACAACAAACACCTTTTCACACTTTTTTCTTTATGGCTTCCAGCGACCCCTTTGACTCAGTTTCTACTTGTCCTTTGGCATTTGTCTAAGACTGTACTGTATGACTTTGTTTTCTAGGCCTCTGGAGCAAGTTCATCTTGAAACTAGCCAGCCATATTGGAACCCATTGACATTCCAAAACAGTATATATATACATATATACATATATATATATATATATATAAAAATAAACAGCCAAAATCAGAGAAAAGGAACAGGGATTTAAAACTTTTTTTAACAATTATTTTTGTGAAACATGTACTCTTTTCATACGGGTGGCTTTTACAAGCAGCTTTATCATTGTTCCATTTCTTAAATTATTGATTGTGGTCATGGAAATGTTGATTCTTATCTGCTTGGTATTTTACAATCTGGAGGAGGTATCGTTGTAAAGATAATCTGAAATCATGACTGGGTTTAGAGACAGATTTCCCATGACATTGCTAATCTGCTGAGACTTTTACTTGTTTAGTTTCCTTTCAATTTGCATTAAATTTGGGACAGTCACATGTACAGAAAACCTTGAAATCAAGAAAAGTCTTAAATTTAGTTTTTCAGAAGGTGGTTTCAGTGAGAATTCATTCAGTTCAAATCGGTTTGTAAGCAGTTATTTTACTTTACAACCCTGGCAGGGCACAGTTTTGTTCACCAGTATCAGACATCACAATAACCAACTCCTCAGGTATTCAGGTGTGTGGGAGCCCTTGCATCTCCTATTAAACAGAACCTACAAAATGGGGACAGATAATTTTTATATGCAATCAACTTCCTGCTTTACCCTACTTGCCCCTCATACCCGTTGCCCTCTATCCTCCCCTTGAGTTCAGTAACCTCCTTCACACTTCAGCAGTGTTCCTTTGAAGGGTATGGATTCTGCATATGGGCAATTGAAATAACAGATTGTTTAAGCTCAGTCTTAGCCATACTCATGATTAATTCATGACTAGATACAAAGATGCTGAGGAGGGGAAGAGAAATGAACTGTACTACTGTACATAAAAAAGTACTGTATGCTTCATTTCATTTAATGCCAGAGAGCTCTGGGAGGTAGAAGGGATCATTCCTTGCCTGTTGTTTGATCCATATATGTATGTACTGTAGTGGGTGGCTAAAATGGGAAAGGGCAGAGAAACATTTCTTTGGAAGTGTAGCTGCCAGGATAGTTATCTGAAGTTATTAAATAATGACAAGAGAACATGCTTTTTTATTATTAGTAGTAGTACAAAATTTCTTTTCAGTCTGGAAGCTCGCCAGATATGAATGCTAATATTCAATTATTCAACTTATTGTAATGGTAAATGCTTAAGTGTATTTGCTAAGAATTCATGATCTGTCTATGCTATATATTCCTTTTGTTACAATTTTTTTAAGAAAACTATTTTTGTTAATGTAAAGTTAATATTTCAGAGCAGAATTTTTAAACTTATTGCACTAAATACAAGCTCTCTACAAATAAACGATGCCTCAATGGTACAATCACTCCATTCAAGAAAATCTTTTGAAAGAGAAAAGTCTTTCTACAGAAGCTTTGTAATGGAGTAGAAAGGTATGTCTAGGTAGAGACATGCACAACTCATGTTATCAAGGTTTAGTAAATAAGCAGTTATTTGTGCTTCCTGTCAGAGGATCAGACTTCCAAATTGCTGCTGAAGATTTAAAGAATTATGTAGTATCATGTAGCTAACTAGTGCTCTTATCTTTTGGCAATAGTAAAATATTTCACTTTTGCTTCCAGAAGGCATTTGATAACTTAAATTTGGTAGGTTTTCTTTCGGTAAGCCAGTTAAAAGAAGGATTTACACTTTTCATATCACAGACCCCAAACTATGTGAGAGGTGTGAAAATAAAGGTACATGTAGAAAGGATAGCTGCTGGGGAGGCAGAGAGACAGAATTACTCAGTCCTGGAAGCACTTAGACACTCATTTAAGTGAACTATATCAGTACCTCCACTAACATCAGAAGGGCTCTCTAAGTATTGAAGTTGTAACGTACACATCTGTGTAAGTGCTAACTGGGCTAGAGCTTCAACCTAGGGATTCAGACTGGAGCACTGGTGAGGCCTCTCAGTGCAAGTCAGAGGTCAGTCTTGCCTAGAAGAAGCACTGGAGCAGTCTTACTTTTGTGGAGAGGAGACCTTCCTGCTGTACCAGTGTCTAAGACAGCAGTGGCTCTCAACACCAATATTTGTGTAGATCAGGAGGGTTTAACCACGCCAGAAACTTAAAAACTGGCTTAGATGAATCCTAGAAACTGGATTCCAAGGCTAAAAGACTTATCGAGTACCCAGTTGCTTCCAGAAAAATTAATTTTCTTCTCGTTTGGAGGCTATTGGAGGTGCTTAATCAAAGAAGCCTTGTATTCTGCGCATTTTGATAAAAAAGTTCTGCCATGACTGATCCCACAAGTTTGTGTTCCCTGCTCACTGGAAGTCCTGAGTGGGGACTTTTCTCTGTAATTGCAACTAGGACTGCAGTTGGAAACAAATTTTGTATTTTTGTATTACTTGACTGTGCACCATTTTTATAGCAGTTTATCCTGTCTTAAAAATAAATTTGTTTTATTTACATGGTGTTTAAAAGATACAGGCAACACTTTTCTATGGGTAGTTGTAATGTTTAAGTGAGAAATCTATATCATTACGAAGTTCTTAATAAAATTGTGTGCACCACTCTTGAGTGTATATCTGGCATGCAGAGCTTTTAAGTCATGCCAAAAAGGCGTTCCATCCACATGCAGATTTTCCAGTGTCCCTTTAAAGCTTTTGAATGTCCTTTGAAGTTCATTTGCAACCAAACTACAAGCTGCCCTCTTCCAGCCCTGTCTTGTGCAGGGAGATAAGCAGAAGACAGAGTTCTGAAGAGACAACTTTTCAGGAGAAATTGAGACTCTGCTTTCCTATCCTAGTGGGGATAGCGGAGTGAGAGGACACTTTGGCATGTAAATTGCTATAGAGATGTTGGTAGTAGGGGTGCTGGGCTCTGCCAGTTGTGATGGATTCAATACTTTTTTTTTGACTGTTGGTTATTAAAGCCAGTATGTGGACTGCTTTGTGGGAAGCAGTCTAGACTAACTAGAGAGCGATGCTGCAGCGAGAATAACAATGCAGGAGGAGCAAGATGAGACAGCTGAAACAGAGAAATCATCTCCTTGGCAAGTCCATTGAATCAAGTACTGCTTGAGGACTGGAGATTTAGACTGGACAATCTGGGTTTAGAAACAATCAGTGGGATTACTAGTTCCCAGCCGTTGGTTTCCGCAGATGGTCTGTATCATAGCCTCTGACCAGCTAGGTTACAAAGTGAAAAAAGTATACAATTCTTTAAATTGCTAGAATTTTTACACATTATTTTACTCACTGTTTTATTTGGAAGTTGAACAGCAGTGTGTAATCTTTATTGCTTCTTCCAACCCTGGAGGATTTTTTTTTTTTTTTGTTCTTTTAGGTCTCATTTCTGTATTGCTCTTTCAGTAAAGGAGTGCCAAGTGGCAGTGTCAGCTCCCCTTTGCCCCACTGATCTTACCACATTCCCTCTCACTTTCCTGAGGCAATGATTTAGGATATCACCTGGACAATGAGAGGGGGAGTAGGTGCTGAGCTAAAGTCCTAAGATAGGATTTTTTTTTTATGATATCACTCCATCACTGTGTTAAAAGTGCAACCCATCTCTTCCGCAGTTTCACTGCTGTTCCACAGCTAGGCTAAACACTATGGCCAGCTTAGAATTGCATTTTCAACCTTCTTGTAGCTCCCAGCTGCCAAAAACAGGATGGGGTTTTAAATGTGGCCTTAGCTTGGCATAGTAACTGAAGGACTTTCTGCATTAGGGAGAGGGGAGAACTAGCAGTGAAAAACCCAGTTAAAATGCTGTGGTGGGTTGACCCAGGCTGTCATATAAGCTGCTATTCTGTTGCTTGCTCAGTCCCCACAGAAGGATGGGAGAGAGCAGTGAAAGGACAAAAAGCACTGTTATAAAGGCAGTTCATTAAGTAAGAGGAAAAACGGAAAAAAAAAGAAAGAAACCCAAGTGATACAAAGGCAGTCACCATCTCCCACCAGCTGACAATGCCCAGCCAATCTCCAAGCAGTGGCTACTTTGGAACCACCCCAGTTTTATAGCTGAGTATGACCTTATATGTTATGGAATATTTCTTCAGTCTGTTCAGATCAGCTGTCCTGGCTGTCCACCCTCTCACCTCTTTACCCAACTCCAACCTACTCTGCTGGAGTAGCAGAGTGACAAACAGAGAAGGCCATTCACCCTGTGCAAGCACTGCTCAGCAACAGGTAACATTGATAACATTGTGTTATCAAACACTCCTTTGGTTGCAGATCTGTGACACAGCACCTTGTAGGTTGCTGTGAAGGAAATTAACTGCATCCAGCCCAACCCAGTACACAGGTCCACTTACCCAGTAGTTAATCCAGGACTTGCTCCCTGCATTTCTGTACAGCATCTTCTCAGGGTGGTTACTTCTTTCTGAAAGGGCTTTTTTTGCAGCAGGCAATTAGCCTGCTCCACAGTGCTCCCTTTCATGGAGGGAGCAGGGGATGTTAGCTCTTACTCTTTCAGCACATAATGGGGATATAACGCAAAAATGAGCCCTTTCTGTATCAGTGTTCTGGCAATTGAGCAGCCAGTGTTGGAGACAACATATTTAATGTGCCCTCAGGGCATGCACTTTAGCAGTTTGCTCTGAGTGGTTATGATGTATTCTATGAATGTATGTTATAGAGTCAGAATAAAATGCATGTAGCAGACATATACTTGTCATCCAGTGAGCATTTGATTCAGAGTGCATATTACATGCTATATTGAACATGGCACAGTCGTTTTGAGAAACAATCGTAAGATTTATAAGTAGATACCTGACAGCATTCCTGTTTTTTAAATCATGGCTTTGCCTGTGCAGATAATGTTTACTAAATCTAAGTATCAGTAGCCCATTGTTTCTTGAACAGCTTGTGTGTCACATTATCAACACAGAAATCCTATTTCATCTTTGTGAAAAAAAAACACAAAACACCAACCTTGTGTTTCCCAACACAAGACCCAACAGACTTATTTGAAGCATTTCTTGCACTCAGCTTCTTTGTTGAGATGATGAAAGTTTACTCTAAATATGTCATTTCCAAATGGTTTTTCAACTGTTTCATCTCTGCTGTTATTTCCATCACATAACAAGATTATGGAAACTAGTAAATCTATATTTCTTGTGTTCTGTAGCGAATACTGTTCTCAAGGTATTTTTTTCTTTTATATTTAAAGAAGTGAGAGAAGAGATGAAACTTATCTCTTGTGATATGGGTCACGTATAAAAGGCAGAATTTCTGGTCTGGGATGGAGCTGTGATGTGTCTTGCAATGTTCGCAAGCTGATGCAATCAAGCCAAAGCTCCTCAGAGACTTTAGGATTATGAAAGTATTCCTAGGGACAATTGGTAGCATGAATCAATCTGAAAATACCCATTTGGAGGCTAAACTATTGGAGGCATTCATTTGGCAGAGATCTGCTAAAAGGGAACTAGCAGAAAGCCAGCAAACACCCATCAGATTCTACTCACCTGTCTCAATGAGGTCAGGTCATTGAACGTGAGCGTGATGAGCAGAATTTGGTGTTTTAAGCGTTTGGTACTTTTCTACAGAAACGTAGACTTAGGACTCCACTTAGAACCAAAGTTGCAAGAATTCAGAGCAAAAGTACCAGCTGACTTGAACAGAACTAGTCTTATTTCAGTAATGTTAAAGACAGCTATGACCTTTCTAAGTATGTGGCAGCATAGGTAGCTGCCATTCCTCAAGCGGACAACCTCTGTGGCTTGAGTGGAAATAGGGACAACTAGGGAGTTATTCCAGAAACACTTGGTGAGATTAGCAATTTTGACTACTTGTGAAACCCAGCAGAAATTGAGCACTGACGTTTCCACCGAGGTCACAGTTTTTAACTCTCAAATACCATGTGGTCCATGTTAGTATTAATTGGGTCCCTCCCTGCTGCTCAAACCGAAAAGGAAGAATATCTCTCATTTGGAAAACAGTGCTGCAGACGATGTTGTAGTGCGTCCTGGGGGAGTGAGGGAGTAGAAAATAGAAAGGTGGCTTTGTTTCTAATGTGGGCTAGAAAGCAGAGGCCAAAGGTTAGGTGGAGCCGTGGAGAGTAGGATTTCATAGGTAGAAAATATTCTGCAGAATCTTCACAATAGTTAAGGAAATTCATGTTCCAATTCAGACATCTCACAGCAACATCCCCTGTGTCCTGCTTTTATTTTGCCATGGAGCTCTTCAGAGCAAAAATGAAGGTGGAATCTATACCTATAGAAAAGAATTATTTCTGTATGATGGATTGTGTTGCTGATTACAGAAACTACCCTAAGGAAAATCTTCTGAACATATTTTAAAGGCTTGACAGTACTTGCATTGTCATAGTCCATCAAAGCTTCATCTGAAAACGAATTTTTCATCCTCCTTCACTCATACTTTTAACAGGGCAATCAAATCCCTGGACTGACTTAGTGATTTACATTGAATCAAGATCAACTAACAAGTGCTCCTTTTTCCAGTGGAATGCCACCTCCTTTGAAAATGGGAAAAGTAAATGTGACACTGTTTATTGTTGTCTTGGGAACTTAAAATGTTTTATACTGCAAGCTGTGAATGCAGGAAGAGAAGAAAAATTAACAGTGCTGATCTAATCTTAGATTTTCTGTGTAAACTGACATTGTGCCAGGATACTGATGCAAAACTGTATTTTAGTCTAAGAAATGTATAGATTTTTTAATGTATCAAAATAAAGTTTTCCTTTTAAGTAAGAAAGAAATTTCTCTGTCTTCCATGCGGGGTGCTTAAGTCCAACTCTTCTTAACAACACAATCTCAAGTTCCTGAGAAGCAAGCAGAGCCCATGCAAGTGTTTGCCCAGGCTTCACTTTGTTCTGTGCCTGCCCTTTAGCTGAGTAGCAGCAGTAATGCTGGGCATGTTGTCCTGGTGCCAAGAGAAGCATTGTGATGCTTAATGTTTTCCTAAGATGGGTGTGCCAGTGGAGTTTTGTAGAGCAAAGGTGGGTTTTTTTTTCACAGTCTTTCTTCTCACTGATCATCTGTTCCTCAGCTTCTCTCCAGCATGTTGGAAACTGCCCCTCTAAGCCAACATTTTCACCCATCATCAGGTTCCTTAGCCTGCAGGGTGTGCTGAAGGTCAGTCACATACAGAAGCAGTTGAGAAGCTTTTGCTGTGGAAAGGGAGAGGCTGCAGTCACACATGCACAGGAGTCCCTTGCTCATACCCAAGGACTCTCAGGACTGCTGATGCTGTCTGGAGCAGACTGGCTAATAATGTATGCTTTGCCTCACAGGGACAGCTATGGGGGAATGCAGAGTAGGGAGGGATGATGGAAATCTTGTTATGTATTATGAGCCATGCAAACTGCACATCCCAGTGCAGCACCTCTTGTGGGACAGCTTCCTTGTTCTGCAAGGTCCTGTACCTGCTTCCCACTCTGCAGAGCCGTTCTAACAAGCTTGGATAGCTAAAGATGGATGGTGAGTAGAAGCAATAATAGTACCTGTGTGATCTTACCAGCATAGGCATCTGCAGTCACAAAGATTTCTTGTGCTCTCCTCTCCATCCCATGGACACAGCAAATTTCTGCTTTCTTTGTTGCCGTTTTTTTTTTTAATACACTAGTAAGCCAAGCTGAACCATGTTTTCTTGCTTCTATTACTCTTCACTGCAAACCACTTCAGCACTGCATTTGCATGAGGTGGTTTACTTTGTCTGGAAACCACTGCCACTTCTGAACTGGAGACTGATGTTGTTGTGGCCACTCAGTAAATACTGTCAGGATGAAAAGGACCAGGCAGCCCATCAGACAGGACCTCTGCACACAGGCAGGGTCCCATGCTGGGGACCCAAAGAGTTCTACTGCATGTCAGTGTTCCACAGTTCCTCTGAAGGTATGTCCCCTTGGCTTGGAGTGTCTGTTTCATGGGTTATTAATGGTGAATCTGCTTGGCTGGGTGGGTTTAGCTGTGTGGAGCAGAAGGGACTCTGGAGATACCCTTCTTCAGCACTAGAGGTGTTAGGGGAAGGAAGCATAACATAGCATACAGATTATAAAAACCCTGTCTGGTTTCCACTGGATTTTGCATGTGTCAGAACTGTAGAACAGAAGCTTTCCTCGCCCTCTGTAGCAGTGAGGGACTGAAGCACTGTCTACAGGGATCGGTGCTGATTCCCTCAGCTCGGAAACAAGAGTTTCATGACCTCCAGGGGAAAAAAAAGGGGGGGGGGGGGGGGGGGGGGCTACAAGTGGGCTGCAGAGGGCTAGCAAGAGAAGTATATGTAGGGAGGACAGAATGAGACACAAGACTTGAAAGGAAAACCTCAGGGTACGGTGGTGGAATGAGCAAGAAAATCCTGCTCACACTGTGAGTGGGAGAGCAAGGGCCTAGAGACAGAGGTCTGGAGCTTCAAAAGCAGGATTTGTCCTTCAGTCACTCAGCATTTCCCACTGCCAAGACACTCTGCATGCAGTATGCATGTACCTGTGAACACCAGCCTCGGGACTCACTCCCTGGCATCGGCAATTGCAGAACAGCACAGGCAGGTGCCTCCTCAGATCCCTGAGCAGCCCTGCTCTCCCACTGGAGATGAAGGACCAATCTCCTTGCTTGCAAGACAGCACAGCTCCTTGGCCACTGCAGGAGCTCTCCTGCCTCGTGTAGAGGATGAGGCCCTCTGTGTGCAACATTTGGTGTGCAGCAAACAGGCTCCTTCTCCGAGCCAGGGAGGCCAGATCCTGTGCTGCAGGAGTCTGACACGGCTCCTTCCCTCCACCGCAGGCCACTGAGGAGCTGACCCAGTTTTAGTCGCTGGTATTTAGATGTTTAATGAAGATTAGCTAGTGCCCAGGGAGAGATTATTTAGAATTTCTAATTACTATTTAAATTATGAATGTGTGAAATGGATGGAGCTCGCAGTCCCGCGCACACAACACCTGAAAAAGCTTTTTCTGACACCTACTGCCATAATCTCCCTCTAATGCTTAGTTATTTTCTACCTTAGGTACACTAAAAACAAAGTGGAAGAAAAACCAGCACCAGGGTAGATTTTCTGATTTTTTGGAGCAATCAAATCTAGAAATAAAGCCTATGACAGAAGCTACTGAATTGTTTTATCTCACTATCCCAGATGACAGTAATCAAATGGAAGACAAATAAATGGATGAGCAGGTATTTTACACTGCAGTCCTCTGAAGAAGAAGTCACAGGCCTGAACCCTGTGCCCTACCAAAAAACAAACAAGTAAACAAACCCACAAACAAACAAAAAACCAAACCAGAGTCTGTCACGATCCCAGAAATAGTGATATTTCCTGGTTTTAATTGCCTTTCTGATGGCTCTTAGTTGTATTCTAGTTATAAATATGAAGTCCTACATACAAACTTTGGGCAAAAAACATCCAGTAGGCATTGGCAATGCCAGATGAAACCACCTCTCCTGATTGCAGGGCCTGCCATGTCCCCCTGTCTTTGCTCCAGGGGCTTCCAGGTAAGAGAGGGAGATGTGGACACCTGCCTGGGG